GCATTTGAGGCATATAATACTTTATGAATTTCAAAAAGGGAACTCTACAGCCGAAGCAACTCGAAATGTTCATTCAGCTTATGGAGAAGAATGCCTGAATGAAAAAACTTGCAGAAGATGGTTTGCAAAATTCAGAAGTGGATATTTCAGCCTTGAAGATGAAGACCGAACAGGACATCCAGTTGAGTTTGATGATGTGCTCCTTGTGGCATCACTTGAAGAAAATCCTGCAGTATCAGTTGAAGAATTGGCAATGAAGCTGGGTTCAAACCATACAACTGTTCATCGTCATCTTCAACAACTTGGAAAGGTTCCTAAACTTGGAAAATGGGTGCCTCATCAATTGTCTGAAGTGAACCGCAAATCGCGAGTTGAGATCTGCTCTTCTCTTCATTCTCGTGACCTTATCTCTCCCTTTTTGGATAGATTTGTGACTGGTGATGAAAAATGGATTTTTTATCAAAATGTTAAACGTCATAGGCAGTGGCTTAGTAATAGGGAAAAGGCCCAACCACAACCAAAAATGGAACTTCATGCGAAGAAGGTTCTTCTCTCTATGCAGGTCTTTTTTCTTTAAAGCCATGTTCAAATGCTCTAATTGCTGACAACAGACTTGAGCATTGATTGTCGCATTAGTTGGCAGCAACTCAAAGTGAATAATTCCTTTGCAATCCCACCATGATGAAACACCACTCCTCTTCGATTCACTAAAAGGACAATGCACGACCCCACACTGCAAAAATCATGTCCCAGAAGATTGAAGAACTTGGTTGGGAGAAAATTCCTCATCCGCCTTATTCTTCCAATCTTGCTCCTTCAGACTACCATTTGTTCCGTAGCTTACTGAATCATTTGGATGGATTAACTCACACAAGCCAAGAGGAGATCGAAACTGACATTTCGGAGTTCTTCTCTTCGAAACCGAAAGAGTTTTTTAGTAGTGGGATTAAAAAGCTTGTAAGTAAATGGAAAGAAGTCATAGATAATCATGGAAACTACATTGATGATTAAATTTCAGTAAAATGTAAGATTTGATCACTCGTTTTCTTTATTTAAAATCCGGAGAGAACTTATGGGATGACCTGATTAAAAAAAAGCATTTCCAACTAGTACAACGGTGTTTAAATGGCTTCTACAATTCTGTGATGCTTGAATGGCTTCGAAGAGCTTCTATTAGAGGGTGGAAATCTCGACTTTCAAAAATTAACGTAAAAATAGCCCTGCAACCTTCACAGGAGTTTGTTTACTTGCTGTGCCTAGATTTTGGAGTTGTATATCTAGCGATTTTTTGCTGTAGGCTTTAATGCTTGAAAGGCTTTGAAGAGCTTATTCTGGTAGTGAAGAAGAACTTAGAATATTTTAGAGGATGGAAATCTCGACTTTAAAAAATTAACGTAAAAATAGCCCTACAACCTTCACAGGAGTTTGTTTAGTTTCTGTGCCTAGATTTTGGCATTGTATATCTAGCCATTTTTGCTATAGGCTTTAATGCTTGAATGGCTTCGAAGAGAAACTTGACCAGTAGCAATGAAAAAGCTAATAAAATTTATCTTTCAATAATCAACATATAATTAGGCTTATGATCTGTGCAGGAGTTTTTTAGTAGGTTTTTCCCAGATTTGAATAAAATATTCATAGCCGTTTTTTCTGTAGAATTGTGAAACAATAATAATATGAAGAACAAATGGATGAATTTTGAATTTTGTCTAACAATCGGAAAATCAACTTTTTTCTTAATATCAATATTTTAGCATCCTTAGCTGTTGATATAGAAGATATTGATTGCTGTTTCAAGAACAAGTCTGTTTTTAAGATGGTTTTTACCCGTGTGTTCTATTAAAATTATTGTGAAATTCCTCGGCGATCCTTATTATGAACCACTATCGTAGTTCATAATGCAGGTCGAAAAGTTGTCTGGCACAGCCTGGCAAGTTGCTTGATAGGAAAGAATACTTCTATGTTTCCTGCTATGGAATGATTTGATCATATACTAACTTAATATCTGTCCACAGTATATGTGTAGTAGTAAGTACAAGAGCAAATCCTCAATAGCTGTGGCACTTGAAATTCTTTTAGGTAGGATTATAGTAAATTAATCTATGAGACCTTTTTATTAGCTATATTTTTGTGCGCCAGCAATACTAAGCGTGGGGCGCGAGTATACACAATTAAATTTTATCACTCATCAGGTTCTCTACCAGCCTACCCTCAATCGAAATTATTTTAGTCAGGATTAGCGTAAATTAATTTATAAGACCTTGGGTGTGGTCAAATACATCAGTGGAAAGGGTTTGATCTCCTTGGTCCAAAACTGTAATTAAATCTCAAATTGGTCAAGAGATGAAGGAGCTATAAGCTAAAAGTTTGTACTTGAAAAAAATATTGACTCAGAGCCGTTCTATGAGCCGCTGTGCCGTGTCTAATAATAATGCTTTGATAATACTACTGACTTAATAAGATGTCTGTGATTATATATGTGTAATAATTTTTGAAGCCTGTTTTGTTAAACATTGAGGTATGACAGTACTTCCCCCCCATAATATTGTTGAGAACATATTAGTAGACAAGCGAATGAAAAGGTGCATGAAAACACCTGGAATTGTATCTCAACTCTATCACAAAGAACATCCAGATGACAAGGTGGTCAACTGGAATTGTTTCTCAAATCTATCATAAGGAACATCCAAATGACAAGATGGTCAACTGGTATTGTTTCTCAATTCTATCATAAGGAACATCCAGATGACAAGATGGTCAACTGGTATTGTTTCTCAATTCTATCATAAGGAACATCCAGATGACAAGATGGTCAACTGGTATTGTTTCTCAATTCTATCATAAGGAACATCCAGATGACAAGATGGTCAACTGGTATTGTTTCTCAATTCTATCATAAGGAACATCCTGATGACAAGATGGTGAACTGGTATTGTTTCTCAACTCTATCATAAGGAACATCCAGATGACAAGATGGTCAACTGGTATTGTTTCTCAATTCTATCACAAGGAACATCCAGATGACAAGGTGGTCAACTGGAATTGTTTCTCAAATCTATCACAAGAAACATCCTGATGACAAGGTGGTCAACTGGAATTGTTTCTCAACTCTATCATAAGGAACATCCAGATGACAAGGTGGTCAACTGGATGTTCCTTATGACAACAGCTTTGTTGCTTATCCATTTTATTCCCCTATCCCCACGCACCAGAAATTTGCCAACTCCTCCCTTGAGAATCCTAATTTTATTTACTGAGAGCTCTTATTTATATTAAAAATGTAACTATCATCAGTAATAGCAAAATGAAAGTACA